ATGTTTTCTCTCTGAAATTCAATGAATCCAATGCAGGTGGTGATGCATGTACTGGGGATGTTGTTATGTTCAAGCAGAATGTTTATGAAACGTAAGCCTTCGAATTGTTCTTGATTTGACAATTTTCAACTCATCACTGATTCAAAAAAAAAAAAGGCTTGATGATCTCTGCCTGAGGCTTGAGCTTGGTTACAGTATGATTGTTACAATTTATGCTTCTTTTTATATGATGTTTGCCATCCTTATCTGTACATAAATCTTTTCAGGTTTAACATAGCATCACGGAGTGCCAGTGGTCCTCCATGTGGCACAAGAACAGTTGCAGGCCGTATCATTAAAGAAAGTTATGGTGCTGCCAAGCAGCAACATACATTTACTGTGAGTCAAATGCCTTTATATCATTATTAGACTTGGATTTAAGGGGTTCATTTGATTTGATATTTTTCCTCAAACAGCCACGAGGATGAAGTTGCATAAAATCCTAGAGGGAGACAATTATGTATTGATCTTGTGGACATTATGTTAGTGTATGTTTGTTAACATGATATTTCTGGCCAATATGATCAGATAGAAGTTCTCTGGAGTAAGGGGGAGAAACCACTTCCTCCACTTCATCCCCTTCTAATTAAAGGGCGAAATCTTTATCGATTGAAGACTTTGAGGCAGGTTTGTAAAATTACTGTGTGAAAGCTTTCCGTTTTCTCTCTCTTTTTTTCCATTGATGATGATTGTTATTTTTCTGTTTATCAAGAGATGGGAAGATGAAGGGAAGAGGCAAAAGGTTTTAATGGAAAAGCACTCAAGGGGTTCTATTGCCAGGTCCGATAGAGAAATGCGGATCCAGGAGAAGGAAAGGAGAAAAATGCTCAAGGGCAAGGCAAATAGGTACTCCAGTAACAATTTCACTTCAAAGGATTCACTGTTTGACTGTTAGTGATGTCAAGTATGCTGGTTCTTAGAATCTCATTCAAATTATTCTTTGCTTTGATGTCAGGATTGTCAAAAAAGAGGAGCCGAACAAGAACCATTACCAGAGGGTTCGGGAGCCAGCACTTAAACATCAGCAGTCAGGTTTATCAGTTGTTTCTGCAGAACCGCAACGGAGCAAAAAGCAGCTATGCTGGTATTATCCACAAGGAATATGCCCTTTTGGAAGCAACTGCAAGTTTTTGCATGAGTTGAGGCATACCAGGAGAGAAGGAAGAGAGGTCACATGATCGAAGAATGTATAATAGGTGCCTGCGCTGACATGTTCCATTTCTTTTAGCATGGTGGAGAATATTAGATCTCCTGGAAGATATGTTGAGGGAGACAAACCCCTAAAATTGATGTGATTTTGCAAAGAAAATTAAATTCGATATCTGATGCATTACTTAACTATTTCATCAGCTGATTTTCTCAGTCCGATTCCTAATATTGTCTGAAAGGATATCAATCATTCTAACTAACAAGTAAGCTTTAAAATTGCTCATTGTAATGCTATTAAAATTGTGTTGAAAGAAAAACTGTTAAAAAGTTGGGGATTTTCATAATAATAGTACTCTTTTTGCTGAACTTTCATTACAATGAAATTGTCAGTCATTCAATTTTTGAAGGGTATTTTTCTTCCCTCTAAATCCTTCCAAGGCAAAATGATAGGGATTACCTACCTAGTATGAAATATTTATGTCCAACCTAACAGCGACTAGAAACCAGACAGTAAGACGAGAAATCATGGCCCACCTGTGTCTTTTAGAGAGAGACAAAAAATAAAGCTAGGCTTCTGAAAAGGAAATTGTGGTGTACAGGCTTTTCTGGCTGGTATTTTCATACCGAGAGTTTCATTTTCAGAGTAATGTTCTGATTCCTTTGCTTAATACAACATTTAATCAGGTAGAGATTACA